AGACCTACGTGTGGAGTTCACAGCCCTCCTGGTAACTCTATAAAATTCTTGGGAACCCTACAAGAGAGAGAGGTTACAGTCCCTTGAACTCTTGGAAATGATGATTTTTTCTTTTTTTGGAAATGATTCTTTTTAACCCATGGGTGGGATGGTTCCCACTATCAAAAAATATTAATGCACCCAAAGAAATTCTAGAGAGAGAGTGACAATGTATAGGTGGTTTTTTTTCTTGGAAATTAGGTTTTGTCAGTCAGTCAGCCAACGTGGGTGGGATGGTTCTCTCTTTTAAAAAATTTTATTGCACCCAAAGAAATTCTAGAGAGAGAGAATGCGTGGGTGGTTTTCTCTTGGAAATGAGACTTTCAGTCGGCCAGCGAGGGTGGGATGGTTCCCTCTTTTAAAAAATTTTATTTTTATTACACCCAAAGAAAATCTAGAGGGAGAGAATGCTTGGCTTAGATCTATCCCACATCAAAGAAATTAATAAATTGAAGTGGGTGTAACCACTATAAAGGGGGTGGGCGGGGGGATTGATACTGTATCCGGTTGGAGATAAGGGTCTAGATCGTTGGATCACTTTGTCTTGTGGGGAGCTTGAAATCGAATACCTTAAACTGGTTTGTCGGGTTGTGGTTTTTGGACCGGATTCGAGTTCTGGTTCTGGAATGGCTCCTGTGTGTTGTGTTCTAATTATATTTGTTCTGCGTTCAGTTGCGTTTTATTCGTACTGGGTCCGGGTTCGGATCCGGTATTTGGACGAGCCGTGTAGTTGGGAAGTTTAAAATCAAAAACCTTAGTTGAGGAGTTTAAAATAAAAAAAACCTGAAGCAGTTTGTCTTGGTGGCTCCCGGTACCAGTCCCGTGTTTGGGTTGTGGCTCCCCGGTACCAGTCCCGTGTTTGGTGTTTGGGTTGTGGCTCCCCGGTACCAGTCCCGTGTTTGGGTTGTGGATCTCGGTACCAGTCCCGTGTTTGGGTTTAGTCAGATCTTATTCATACCGGATCTATTGTTCATGTAAAACTGTGGTTGCCCCTCAAAAATATCGGGGGACCTTATTCATATCGGATCCATTGTTAATGTAGAACTGCTGCCGATGCCCCTAAAAAATCCATCGGGTAGTTTTAATGTTGAAAAGCTCTTTGATTGATCATCTCGATATCGAGATGTATGACTATAAAAAATAAAACGATTTTAAGTCTAAAAAATAATACATTTTACAACATATTATCTTTACCGTCCACCGTCCAATTTTAAGATTTTCATATGTTTATAGATCTACATTATTTTAACCATTTTTGAAACTTAAAATTTTATAATTAGATATAAAAATAGATTTTGAGATAACCTTAAAAACATTTTACATCAAAATTATATACCATGATAAAATTTGAAGGTGCACCTTACCTCTACACCTACGGATGCGTCCTTATGCAAACTGCACCCTATATATAATAATAAAATATTTTTATGATACATAATTACCAGAATACCTATGAAAATTTTCGGAGCATTTTGGTTATTTATTTTTATAGAAAATATTTTTTTTACAAGCTTGCCCTAATTTTATGATGGGATACCCAAAATTTCATCCAAAAATATTTTGTAGAGAAAAGGTGAAAAATAAAATAGTGTTTGGTGTGACATTGGAGTATGAACAATCGTAGTATTCAGATCGATCGACAGCTAAAAACTTAGGTCACATATAACTTATCTGTTGTTGGGGTCTCATAGAAACATTTGCTTTTATTTTATGGTACTACATGTCAAGTTCCATTTCTATGTAACCTTGTAAAGAAAGAAATTTGCATCTTTGGAATTTGTTGCTCCACAATCTGAGTGTGGTCTCCATTTTTATTTAGAATGGTATAGATGCTAGGCTCTTGCCACTAAGAATCATTAGATAAGTATATTTTTGAAAAAAAAACCAAAAGGGGTGTTGAGATGTCTAACAATTAGATTTCACCCTCAAAGAGTTGGACAACCTCTATTCAATCTTGATATATTATTCTCCATGCACATGAAGTCGATTTGGAAAAAAAAAAAAATATTATTGTGGTTAATCTATGAATTGAAGAGGTAATATCTCCAAAATTTTGGGATCTTGAGCTTATTCCATAATGTGATTTTCTGGAGGGAGTATACAAATAGTATACTCCGAGGGAACACAAACGTTATGGCTATAAATTCTTTTCACGAGGACTTCGCGGTTCAGACACGGCAACATTGCAATCGGTCGGCAAATATTCCCTCCCGGTGAATGGCGCGACGGCGCCGTCTGGAGTGGGGCATGGACCGAACCCGGATGCGGTACACGTGGCAGTCCAGCTGGCCCACAGCATGCCTTCTAAAAGGAAAGAATTTCGAGTCTAAAGATGAGGGTGCAGGATTTGAACACTGAACGGTCACGATTGCTTCTCAAAGCTCGTCCGGCAGTGGAGGCAGACGCATCGATCTCTTCTACATGGGACAATAATAACCTTGGCTTTCCCTCGTTCAAGAGAAGGAATTTTGTCCTTTTCCTTCATTTCAAACATTCACAATCGGGAGTCGGAACCAAAGCAAAGAAACTCAAGAAGCCATCCGCAACGCTTTCTCTTGAATGGATGAGAAACATATTATTATAACATCATCAACGATCATTCGCTTATCAATGAAGAGAAACTTACGAGTGCCATTCCCATCATATTTTAGAGGTTGGAACTTTCAAAGACAATACCACACGTCACTCAGTCGAAGCTTTCAATCGTTCAATCCCTAACAAGTGGACTTTGAATTTCTTTGTTTTTTTTAATATCCAAGTAAACAACGACATTATTTACTTTTGATACAAAAATATCATAATTACTTATAATTTTTTGATGTGAAATTTGATAGCTTTAGTGTATCATAACGTTTAAATTTTTTATTTTTATTTAAATTTGAGCTCGGTCAATAGAACAAATTTAACCACTTTGTTTTTACATCCAATGATCAAAATTAATTATGATCATCTTGTATAAAAAACAAATGACATTATTGTATACCTAACAATAAGTAGCCCTATATAAAAAAGTATTTTGTACAACATGTTGTTACATGTGGACATGGGCATGGTGCTTTGGCCTATCCTGGCCACCCAAGCTTCTTGGGCTACAGAATGCCATAGCTTAAGGGTGGTGCTTGGGCCAAAGTCAACCAATTTGGCCATGTTTGGCTTTTTTTTTTTTTAAATTTAAAAAAGCTTATTTTTTTAATTTTTTAGCCCACCGGCCATAATAGATCTAGAGTTGGGCCTAGGAGAAGCCTCTTTAACCAGGTTAGGGCTTGGCTGGGCCTTATGCGAGCCCTAAATTGTTGGTGTGCCATTCACTGCAATTTTGAAATGGTACTTTTCCTTATTTGAAGAAGCGAAAATTCAGTAGTCGAAAAAGGAAAAACAAATATTCGTCCGAATAGCAAAACCAATATTCACAATGCAATCTAGAGAGTAAAGAGGGAAGGCAGGTGAATGGAACTTCGCATAAAGAGATGAGGAATGCCATTGCGTCATCTAAGCGGCCGTTAGGCAATAACAGAGCCCGAATCTAGAGTCGTAACTCCACCTCCGTCTAACTTGACGGCCACGCCAGTCGAGAAGAAACACCCTAATTTTCGCTTTTTCTCTCATCGCCGCACGACTCTACTCTCTCTCTAGAAATCCCCCAGGCTCCCCCTCTCTCTCCTCCTGCACCGTCATTTAAATGCGCTCCCCTCCACTGCCACTGCATCACATTACATTTTCAGAGAGAAAAATGAGTCTCTCTCACACCATGACGATTACAACCCTAGCCCTCGCTCTCTTGTTGGCTCGAGCCGTGGCCGACGATGGCCCGCTGCCCACACCACCAGGGTTCCCAAACCCGCCCCCCAGTGACCCCTATGGGTTCAATGGAAAGTTCAGTCCCTCCATGGCCGTTATCGTGGTGGTCCTTATTAGCGCTTTCTTCTTCATGGCCTTTTTCAGTCTTTACATCCGCCAGTGCACCGGTGACGATTCCACCGTCGCGCCATGGACCGGCCAGCGCAACGTTGGTGGCGGGCGTTCGCGCCGCAGCCGGGGCCTGGACCCTGCCATTATCGAGACCTTTCCTACTCTGGTTTACTCGGTCGTAAAGGGCCTGAAGATCGGAAAAGGCACTCTCGAGTGTGCGGTCTGCTTAAGTGAATTCGAAGACGATGAGTCCCTTCGATTGATACCGAATTGCAGCCATGTTTTTCATCCTGAGTGCATCGACGAGTGGCTCGCTTCTCATGTTACTTGCCCTCTCTGTCGAGCAAACCTCACTGTTCCTCCTCCCCCTGATACAAAATTGCCTGAAAATTCACCCGACGCTGCAGAAGATCCAAACCCACCGCCCGAAGATGAAATCCCTGTGGTCGAAGAGATCACCATCACTATCGATCCGCCGGCCCCAAGCGCACCTGAACCCCAACAGAACCGGCCACCGAAGCGTCTGAATCGCTTCCTGACCATGAAATTTCCGAGATCTAACAAATTTCAGAGGTCTCATTCAACAGGTCACTCGCCCGTGGGGCCTGATCGGTACGAGCGACACACTCTGAGATTGCCTGAAAATGTGAGGAAACAAATAGTGAAAGGGAAGCTCAACAGAACCATAAGCTGTGTGGCGTTCCCAACCGAGAGCGGATCAGTTGCAGGGAGCTCTCATGGCGGTCGTAGAATTGGAGAAGGAAGTAGCAGAGGGGGTAGGAGTTTGAGGAGAAACAAACCTGGGGAAGGTAGTAGCAGAGGAGGGGGATGGAGCTTCTCCGAACGGTGGACGTTTTCGATGACGCCACCGTTCCTCTCCAGAGCCTTATCATTCGGCCCGCCGAGGGACGGGGCCGAGCAGTCCAGATCAAATTCCCAGGCCCAATCATTGCCTTCGTATCTGCGTATAGGCGAGACGAAGGAAGCGGCGCTGCCGGTTCGAGCGGAGCCATAGGAAGAAACCGGGGTTCCAGACATAGGTGGTTTCAACAGCCGCAAAGGTTAAAGGCGGTTTTCCCATATGAGGAAACGGTGGTTTTCGTCAAAAGAGAAAGGGTCTTTGGAAATGGTGGTTTAGGGTGTGGAATCGATTGTTCCGCGGTTTTGGCCAGATTCTGGAAGACTAGAAATTTGTTAATAATTAAATGGGATTATGGGAGTCTTATTTTTTTAGGAAATCCGGATTCGATTTGGGTTGGCCTTATTTATTTGTACAGCACAAAGAACAAGAGTTGCTTTTTAAGAGAGAGGGAGTAAAAGAGGTTCCTAAGCCCTTAATCCCTTTTTTCTCTTCGTTTTTGTTTGTTTGTTGATGTGTTAGAGATGTAAATGAAGAAAGAATGCTTGGGCTTGGATGCTTTATCGTGTGGTTGAGAGGGATTGGGGTGATTAAGTGATTCCTTTTTTAGTGTAAAATATAAGATTAAAGAATGGTTGATATGAATAGAAGCATGCCATTAATGGAGGGTGCCAAGAATAAAGGCGACCCCTCCAAAAGTTTGCTTGAATCTTTTGGCCCTTTGAAAATACACAATATTTTACAAATAGACACATAAATGGCAAAAAATGCTTAAATTTTCATTTTATATCATATTTGTTATAAAGAAAAAGTTTATATAGGATGCAACCTTATGATGTAGAACTACGGATGCAACCTTATGATGTAGAACTACGGATGCATCTCAAAAATCCATCGGAAAAGGTGGTTTTAATGTTGAAAAACTCTTTGATTAATCATCTCCACATCGAGATGTATGATCATAAAAAATAAAAAGATTTTAAGTCTCAAAAATAGTGTATTTTACAGTATATTATTTACACCGTCCATTTTCAAGATTGTCATATGTTTATAGATCTAATTGATTTTAACTATTTTTGAAATTTAAATTTTATAATTAGATATACAAATAGATTTTGAGATAATCCTAAAAACACTATACATCAAAATTATATATCATGATAAAATTTGAAAGTGCACATTACCTCTACAGCTATGATAAAATTTGAAAGTGCACATTACCTCTACAGCTAGGGATGCATCCGTATGCCAACTGCACCCTTATTAGAAACGAGTTTTATTAGTAAGTAACAAAACTCATTTATAATAAATATGCTTCTGATGCCAGCTCACCACGGTGCTTTGTTTGTAAAGATACGAGCGCCTATACCTCCAAATTCGATAGAGACAATTCTACACATGGGGTAGTACTTCAATGTCAATATACTTTTGAGCGTTTTTAGTGAAATTACATTGAAGAAGATTCCAAACCTTTTGTTTTTCCTGGATAAGTAACAAAATCATCTTATAAAATTTTTATCCCATGTCGAGGATAGACAATATTATTAAATTTTATTGATCACATATATCACAAACATCAACAATGTCTTCAGAAACTAAAAGAGACTCCAAACTTGCACCCCGCTTGGCTAAACCATTTGCAACGTTATTGGTATGTCGATAAATATGTTGATTGGCATCTCGATAAATATGTTCAAAGGATATTGAAGACACCCTAATCCCGATCGAAGAAGTTATGGAAGACCAAAGTACTCTAGACAAACTGCCTCGATACTTGAACCACTCACACTTATCTTGACATATTCGTAAACTAGCTCCCATGAACCCCAATATCCACTTTAAGAGTGAAACAAGGTAGATCAGAACTAAGAACTACCAAGCTAGGAGCAATTTGAAAGCAAAAAGTTCTAGCTCCACTCCTAATGGCGCCAAAGTAGCTCCCAACCTCGACACAAAGATGGCACATGAGTACTGACACCAGAAGCGACATGAAAGGAGAGAGAAAAGCCCGACGCTATTGCTAATGGTGTTAGTGCCCCTTAGAGCTGTGTCGGTCCCCCTGACAGTCAAAATGGGGAACAACCTGGATGTACGACCCAATGTTGTGTGTCAGTATGGACTCACACGTGTCGAAAAGTATTGATGTGTTAGATGTCAGTACATAAGGGGTTGTTGACTTCATATTCATCGAAGAAGTACGAAAGGTACTAACGTGTCTGATGTTAAACAGTCCGCTGACACTGTCACAATTGAGAATGGTGCCAATGGAGTTCGAAAGTGCAACGTATTTTGATTGGTCCACCACTTGTATGGAAGAACGCCTAGAGAACAACACATGGCAGATTTTAATTGGCGCCAGTGCCACTACCAATGGTGCTAGACCTTTGACACTCCGTCCACAATATTGTACTCGGGCCAGAGTCATGTTAGGACACAACATTTAATTTGTTTGACCATAGGTAATGATAATTAATGCTATTCTGGTGCCAGTCCCTGCGGCATCAAAGAAGTTCCAAATGGCGATAAAATTTAATGGCCTAGATTGTCCAAAAACGATCCAGTGGTAGTCCTAAGTCTATCTTGCTTATAACTACGGCACTTCACCTTAATTTCAAAGGATGAAATTTTGATATCTCATGTGTAAGCTTTGCCAGATCAAGCTCAAACCATACCAGAACCCTATTTCACCCCAAGCTGAACCCTTTTAACCTAACCTTTTACACTCTATCTTAAAGGCAATCCAAATAATCAAACCTTTTGGATCCTCTTCCACATATATTCACTGGCCCTGTCAAAACCTGAAAGATAGGGACTAACCATGCACCATCTACTTTGAATCAACATCGATTCTGGGTGCCGGGCCTAGGGGCCCGGTCTCAAATATCATTCCTTCCTCCTTTTACCTTTTGTTACTGTCATTTATTATTGTCATTTAATCTTGTATTTTTTTATGGTTGTGTTGGTATTAATGAGCTTTGTTTAATGCTTTCCTTGCATATTTATTGGCCTCTTTATTTTATTTATTGCTTTGTTCCCTTCTTCTTTTATTTCTAAAAGGTTCTTCGTTAAATCTTCTCCTCTCTTCATTAACCATCTTCAAAACCTATCTTGAACTCGAAGGTTAACGTATACAGGAAGCCGGTTTTGTCGGCTGTCCGAGTAAGATACAACCTTGTAACCCAATTCTTGCCCGAAACATAATTTGATGAAGCCCTTTCTCTATCAAATTTTTGACACATTTTCACCTTAAGCCAAGAGGGGGACCAAGTTCCCTACCTGCATTTTCGAGTATAAATAGTTTGGCGCCCATCGTGGGGCTTGTAAAGCTTCCTTTATACCCTAACTATTGAAGTTACCCTTTGGACTTGATCTGAAGGCCACTATCAACCCAGAGTTCATCTCGGCTCATTTCAAGCCGTTCTTGCTTTGTTTGGGGTCTGAAATGGACAAAATCCACTGCAAATAGTGTCAACACCATTCCCAATAGCTTTTGTACGTCTCAACAATCTCCCTCGTGCTTCTTGGAAATTCAAGGGTGTATCGCCACTGGCAACAACATTTTCGCCACTGCCACTTGCGTCATACCTCTGAGACCCCAAAAAGCTCCCTCGGCCTTTCTAGTCCCTTGTTCTGAGTTCTGATAAGAAGCAAGATCAATGCTATTGGCAGTGGCGTTGGTGTCATTGGCACCAACACTAGACCTCTTCCTCCATGTTCTTTGTTTTCCGGCTTGCCCTAACTAACAGTGGGATCTCTGGCGCTAGTGTCAACTCCGTTAAAGTTGTTTGCACCAACGCAAATCCTTTGTCACCTCAGGCAGTGTTATTTTTGCTTGGTAGCATAATTTTATCGATTTCTTGCATCTCTTTGCCTCCCCAACAGTTCTGGAACAGAGGGTCCTTACCCCCTCGCTTTGAATCGTGCTTTGAGAAGGTTACACTTGGCTCTAAGCGCGTCTGTCTCGGCATAAGTTGTGTGCCTTTCACTTGGACCGCGACGTGGTTAGTTTCCCGATCAAAAGCACACATCACTAGGCACCAATGTGCATGGTGTCCACTCATTGTTGGGGCATCTAGCCTTTCACTTTCATTGTGCATTGATCGACTTATCAACTCGAAGTTCATGTTGCCGGTATTAGTGGTCCCTTGCATTCATTTATTTTTTTAAACAGATTACGCCTGCTTATCACACACTTTTCATGGGTACTTGTGCTGATTTACACACTTACACTTGCACCCTCGAGCACGAATGATAAATCTATTTCAAATCTAGTTTTTGAAAAACCTGAATCCATTCATAAGACTTCTAGAGTAGGCACCTAGCTCTCAGAGGAAGGGTAGTTGGGATTGTGGGCCTTCAACAGGAGTGTAAATATACCTGGCCTCTAAGAACACCCCACAATACTTTTGACCAGTGGTTTCAAAAACGGATCGGTGTCCCAAATCGGGCACTCCAAAAACCCATCAAGATCGGTAAATCGGCGATCCAGATCGGGAATCGGTCGAATTGAAATCCAAAAATATTATTAAATTTCATTATAAATGTTGTTTTCATTATAAATGTTGTTTTCATCAATTTGTGAATATTGAGATGTTATTTCCCTATATGAACTTAAATTACATCATACAAAAGAAAAATCATAGAATTATTATGGATAAAGTATATAATCATACATGGACTACAATAAAGAATGAATTAAATCGATGACAAAATAGCCACTAAAATCTTGAATTCGCATAAAACCCTAATCCGCTAAAAAAAACCAAAATTATTAACCTAGCTAACTATAGTCCAAAATTATTACAACCTAACTAACTATAATACTATATATTGAAATTAAAATTGTTAGTTTATATTTTATAATTATTTTATTATACAAATAATAACAAATCCAAAAAAATAATAAGATGTTGTGATACATTTTTTTTTGCTTGTTGTATTACCTTTCAGTTTTTTTTGACAACAAAAATAAGAAAATGATGCTACCAAGGTACCATTTATTTTTTTTATACTTTTTATTTTATATTTTGACAAGAAATACTTGTTATATTACCTTTTAATACTTGTTATATTGCCTTTTGTTTTTTTTGACAATAAAATAAAAAAATATTGTATTACAATTTTTTTTGAAAAACCTTTTATTTTTTATTTTTTTCCTTGTACTTTATTTTCTTCCTTTTAGAATTTTTTTTTTTTGAAAAACCTTTTATTTGTTTATTTTTACTTTATTTTCTTCCTTTTAGAAAACAAAAATAAGTTGGATGGCGCCCAAGGGGTTCGAAGTAGATTTAATTAACTTATATAATAGGGATTGTTTACATTAAAACCATTTACCTTGTGTACAAGGAGGTCACAATTCAAATTAAAGTGCACTTGAAAAATTTCACCAATGGAGATGGTTTCGATGCCTAAATATCCACAAATCGATCATCTCGACCTCAAGATGTATGAATATGAGAAAAAAATGGATTTCAAAGCTTGGAAACAGTGCATCTTGTAATACATTTTTAGGATCGTCAATTTTCAAGAGTTTCAAGTGTTAATAGATTTGATTGATCTAC